GGGGGGCTGTGCGCAGTGCTCCCTCTAAGCTGTGTGGAGTCTTTCCGAGCAGAAAAGCTACTTTCTGAGCCACGGGCATTCAAGTGGGGAGCGAGGCGATTGGGCTGCCGCCTAAATGAGTGTGCCCCGGAGCCCCTCCTTCCGGAGCGAAGGCAGAAATTGGTGAGCCGGGGGCTAAAAAAGCTACGAGCTGGCTCACACTGACTCGGTGTAGGGGGAACACTGCTCTGGAGCCCTCCTTCCTGAGCGAACGCAGAAATGGGTGAGCCGGAGGCTAAAAAAAACTGAGCTAGCTCACACTAACTCAGCTTAGAAGGAACACTGCTCTGGAGCCATCCTTCCTGAGCTAAGGCAAAATGTGTGAGCTGGAGGCTAAAAAAACTGTGAGCTAGCTCACACTGACTCAGCTTAGAGGGAACACTGGCTTTGGAGCCATCCTTCCTGATATAAAGCAAAAATGTGTGAGCTGGAGGCTAAAAAAACTCTGAGCTGGCTCATACTGACTCGGCTTAGGGGGAACACTGCTCTAGAGCCCTCCTTCCTAAGTGAAGGCAAAAATGTGTGAGCGGGAAGCTCAAAAACTAGGAGCTAGCTCACCTTAGGGGGAACACTGCTCTAGAGCCCTCCTTCCTAAGTGAAGGCAAAAATGTGTGAGCGGGAAGCTCAAAAACTAGGAGCTAGCTCACCTTAGGGGGAACACTGCTCTAGAGCCCTCCTTCCTAAGTGAAGGCAAAAATGTGTGAGCGGGAAGCTCAAAAACTAGGAGCTAGCTCACCTTAGGGGGAACACTGCTCTAGAGCCCTCCTTCCTAAGTGAAGGCAAAAATGTGTGAGCTGGAGGCTAAAAAAACTGTGAGCTAGCTCACACTAACCCAGCTTAGGGAGAACACTGCTCTAGAGCCCTCCTTCCTAAGTGAAGGCAAAAATGTGTGAGCGGGAAGCTCAAAAACTAGGAGCTAGCTCACCTTAGGGGGAACACTGGTTATGTATTTGCTGGGTGACAGATCCGCGTCTCTTAGGAGGCTCAGAGGGTATCACGTGTACATCGAGGCGATTGCTGTATCGAGGTGGGGGCGGCTGGGCTTTCCATGGATGAAGGCGAGGCAGGAGCAGTGACCCAGTGCTTCATGACTATTGTCAAGAGCATGTTCAAATTGCATCCTGTGTGCCTTATCAAAAAAGTGGGTCAGGGTTTTATGCGGAGGGTGATGTTTACAGCCGCCACCCTGTGAGGGAGGCCAGGCCTGTTGTAAGTAGGAGACAGGGGAAAAGCTGAGGCTTAAGTGGCTTCTACCACTATTGCTTAACAGTGCTTGGTGTTCATGTCACTTTACTGGAGGGAACTGTCCCATTGAGAAAGGCTCCCATGCTATCATTGCTAGGAACAATTAGGTCTGACACAGTTCTCATAGTGTTCAAAGAACATCAGATGTTGGTGTGCTCTGCAGCACGTTAAAGGTGAACTCACGATGGAAGTGGCTGCTGGGCCATATAAATACCTGCCATAGTAAAGCAGTTGTTCTTTGAAAGCTTGCTTGTTTTGATGGCAACAGACTAAGATACCTCTCTGATCCTTATAAGAGCCCTGTAAGGTAGGCCAGTACTCCTACATTAGGGAAAGGGTGACATCTTGCATAAAACTACATTGCTTATTGTTACTGTTATGTCTTAGCAAATTATTATTAATGCATGTTCACCTTTCCTCCAGGGAGCTGCAACTGACATGGTTCTATATCCCTTCTCCCATTTTGTTTTCACAACCACCCTCTGAGGTAGGTTATCTTAAGAGAGAGTGTATTGGTCTATGGCAGGGGTGTCGAACTCATTTGTTATGAGGGACGGATCTGACATAAATGAGACCTTGTTGGGCCGGGCCATGTGTGTCATAAAATGTAATGCCAGGTAGCATTATAAAGGATACAAACACAACGATTTTTTTTTACTTAAAATAAAAACATGCTTAAAACATTATCTCTGTAAGCTGCAAACCTACTTTTGATGTATTGACATTCACCACAGAAATCTCATGCTCAGAGTTCCGAGTCTAGGACTCAGGTTAAAACATGTAATGGCTGAGCGATTGAGAGAGTCTGGCAAAGCAAGCTATGATGCAGCAGCAGAACTGGAAGCAGGAGATGGCCAGTTCCACTGTGGGCCTAATCCGGCCCCCGGGCTTCATGTTAGACACCCCTGGTCTATGGTCATGCACAGTGCAGTCCTAAACAGACTCAGTGGATTTTGAAGGGTGTAACTTTGTTTAGAAATGGCACAGTGAGCTGGCTTGCATGGTCCTCTCAGTCTTCAGGTGATACGCTGACTGTTACACCACTGACTCTCAGATTAATTATTATTAGCTATCTATATGTGTGGGAGATGTGGTGTCTCAAGTGGTTAAGACGCTGAACTGCAGGCTGTGGAAGGTCGGTAGTTCAGCAGTTCGAGACCTGAGTATGCCACATGACGGAGTGAGCTCCCATCTCTAGTTCCAGCTCCTGCCAACCTAGCAGTTCGAAAGCAAGAAATTGCACGTAGTGGTGGGAAGGTAACAGGGTTCCTTGCGCCTTGGTGTTTAGTCATGCCGGCCACATGACCACGGAAACGTCTTCGGACAGCGCTGGCCCTTCAGCTTTGAAACGGAGATGAGCACCGCAACCCTAGAGTCGGATTCGACTGGCTTTCGAGCAAGGGAACCTTTACCTTTAAAACAAAGTGGGGGGGAAATTGCTAACAAAAGCATGTTTAGGGGTACCTACACTCCAAACAGGAAGGCAGTAGGAGAAGCCTTGCTCCTAAGAGGTCTCTCTCCCTCACTGCTCCGGAGCTATGGGGCAAGCAGTGTTCCCTCTAAGCTGAGTTAGTGTGAGCTAGCTCACAGTTTTTTAGCCTCCGACTCTCACATTTTTGCCTTCATTCAGGAAGGATGGCTCCAGAGCAAACTAATTTTGCCAGTTTGGTGTAGTGGTTAAGTGACATCTTGCATAATCCGGGAGAACCAGGTTTGATTCCCCACTCCTCTACTTGCACCTGGCTGGGTGACCTTGGGCAAGCCGTAGTTCTGACAAGAGCTGTTCTTGAAAAAAGAGCAGTTTCTGTCAAGAGCTCTCTCAGCCCCACCTACCTCACAGGGTGTCTGTTGTGGGGAGGGAAAGGAGTTTGTAAGCCGCTCTGAGACACCTTTGGGTAGTGAAGGGCGGGGTATAAATCCAATCTCTTCTTCTTCTAATTTATGCAGTAGCCAAATCGCTCGCTCATAACTTTAATGCCAGGAACTCCCAAAGTAGAATTTTTGCTCACAAGATTCTACAGCTTAGAGGGAGCATTGGGGGCAAGCAGCCCTCATCCTTGCTAGGAATGAAATTAAAAATAGGAGCTGCCCCCAGTCACTACCCTTCTTGCTTTCATGGAATATTTAACCACAGTGCCAGGTGGTCAGTGGTTTCACACTGCCCCCCAGGAGGCACAGAACCCTTTAAAAACGTGTATTCCATCTGTCCCAATTTTAGCTGAGGGCAGCTTACAGAATATCTGTCATAGAGCTGTAAGGCCTTATTTCAAAGTTTGTTTATTTTCAGAGGGAAGGGGCAAAGGAATTTGCATACTTAAGCTCATAATCTTGGAGGGAGGGGATTTGGTTCTGGGGGAACTTGCCCAAGTATTAATTTCTCTGCCTCCCCCCCCCCCATGATTGCTAACAGGCCCTCAGCTAGTTCATTATTAGCGTTTCAGCCAAAAGAGCTGTCAGAGCAGAAATCCCAAGCCCGGTAGGGGCGCCAATTAAAATCCAGTCTAAAATGTTGCTTGCTGAGTGGCTTGTCAGCTGGATCTGGATCCAGGCACAGCGGAGGGCTGCCTGCCTCCCTCCCTCAGGTGGCCTCGTTGGTAGAAGGGGGAAGGAAAGCTCAGCTAGGGCTGGATTCAGCCATAAGGGAAGGAGTGCCTGGCTGCTTCCTGCCCCCATCCCCTTCAACAGCAGTGGAGAGTCCCTCCCTCCATCTTCCATCTGGAGCTGGATTCCAGCAGGATCGAGGAGCCTCTTTAGGGAGTTCAAAAGTACATCATGCATACAGTCTCTCCATCCATCCATCCATCCAGTTTTCTCAAAGGAGTTCAAGGGCAGCGTCCATGGCTTTCTCCGCCACGTATCCCCTCCCATCTTTGCAACAGTCCCGTGAGGTAGGTCAGGCTGACTAGCTAGCAGTCATCCACGCTTCGTGACTGGATGAGGAAGGATTTGAACCCGTGTGTCCTAGGTCCTAATCCCATACTCTAACCACTGCACCACACTGACCCTCTTGTGTTAATCTTTACTGCAGCCATCTTGTAAAGGAAGTAATTATTGCTCATTCTATTTATGGAGAACGGTCGGGAAGTGCTGAGTTATCATGGCATTTAGCTTTCTGGAGAATTTATCCAGATGGTGATAAAAGAAACATTAGAGGTTAAGACGTTGAGCTGCAGACTGGAAGGTCTGTAGTTTGGCAGTTCGAGACCCGAGTGGCACATGATGGAGTGAGCTCCCATCTCTGGCCCCAGCTCCTGCCAACCTAGCAGTTCGAAAGCAAGAAATTGCAAGTCAATAAATAGGTACCACTTCGGTGGGAAGGTAACAGCGTTCCATGCGCCTTGGTGTTTAGTCATGCCGGCCACGTGACCACGGAAACGTCTTTGGACAGCGCTGGCTCTTCGGCTTTACCTTTACTTATATACTTGAAACGAAACCCTTTCGCTGTTCCTATTGATTGCTGATTGCAGAAGACTACCAGAAGGTTGTTTCTCTCGGCCTGGGAGGTCATACTGAACATGTCAATCCAGGTTTCTGAGCTTCTCATCTGATAGTGTCGGCAGAGAACTTGAGCCTGACGGCAGAAGCGTAATTAGTAAATCTTACACTGTAAGAATGCTAAGCATCGGGTCGATTTGGCGTGTGCAGAAGGTACTTAGTAGCCAGGGGTCAGAATCTAGCCTGGAGTAACGATGTCCCGGTGAGGTGGCACATTTTAAAGGGGCAGCCTTCAGTTTAAAATCCACTCTGGAAGGCTGTTGTTTAAATAAGGCAAAATACCAGGAACCAAACGGGATTGCAGTGCAGCCCGCCAAACTATTTTCCATCTGTCACAGGAATGCGAGCATCGTGCTTTCCAGGGAGATGTGACAGTGCTCTTTGAACTCTTCTCCAGCTGCGATTGAGTGGATTGAAAATTTAGATTTTCGTATTTAGGGGGATAGTCCAGTGGGTCCACATACCCAAATATCGACTTGGTAATAATCTGGAAGGCGTAATAGGAAAGTCTCTTAAAAACAGCGGGCTGCTCTGCGGAGGGTTGTTCAGCTTGCAGTCTAGATGGCTACAAGATCTCTTCTAGTCCAAGCCCTTTCCACATCCATTTTTTGCTAGTGTTTACTGGCCGGAGCCCAGAAGCTGGGTGAGTTGGGCTCCTTAAAACCTGCAAGATGCCGCCCCCCTGGTTGAAACTCTTCCCGCTCCCCAGCCCTGATGGCAACTGAACTCTGCTGCCCCAAGAGTGGCAACTGAGGCTGTAGTCCTTTTGGTCTCAAGGTTATCTATCTAGCCCTTGGGACTCAAAATGGAAGAAGTCAATACGACTAAAAAAACTTTACTCTGGTACCTGATAGTGACAGCGAGAATGATTTATGCTCAGTTTTGGAAGACAGAAAAGGTACCAGAGGTTGAAGAATGGATACAAAAAGTTCTGTTCATGGCACAAATGGATAAGATTACAAAAAAACTGAATAACAAAGAAGACGATGAGTTTTTTGGAGAATGGAATGACTTTAAAATTTATCTGGAAAAGAACTGGGATGTGAAACAAAACTTAATATGTTTAGATCAATATTAAGTCAAACGATGTTATCTTTAGATTGTAATGATGAAAAACTGATATTGTTGATGATATGAAGTAATTTGGAGCAGGGGTGGAAGCATTGTGGGAAGCCATTGGAGGGAGGGGAGGAACTGGGAATGGGGTAGACAATTGATAGAATGAAAAGTTTTATATGTTGTATTCCTGAGAAAATAAAAATTTGTTTACCAAAAAAAAAAAAAGGAATTTGGTTGAGGATGGGTGAGGAACTCTGCCGCAGTTTGTTGAATGCGGTACATGTGGTCCAGCTTTTTACTAGAGACAGGGGTGGATGACGGTTTTTGCCAAGGGGTTTTTGCGGCTTCTAGCAATACTGACGACATTGGGAGCTCTACGACTGAGGATGTATCAAGTTGGACGATATCGTAGAGGGAATCCGTAGACTGAGGATCCTTTTGAACAATTGACAAGCCCAACGCATGGGCCATTCTTTTGATTAGGTCAGTGTAGGACGACAAGGCATCTGATGGAGATATAGGAAGGTTTTGGAAGACGTCGGTGGGGGGGCGACATTGGAGCCTCGGATGGCTCGGTATCAGAACCCGATATCGATGGGTCCGAAGAGTCAGGCTCCCCAGCTGGGGTAGACTGATGTGGAGACGGAGCAGGCGGCTGGGTTGGTGGAGAATAAGGCCTGGTATATCAAGTGTAGGGTAGTACAAATACATGGACTGTTTTTGGAGAAGCCAAGGAATGAATGAAAATGGAGGGACATATATGTCATCTTAAAGGAACATATTGTGGTAAAGTAACATATAATACTTCTCCAAAACTATGGTGCTGGAGAAGACTCTTGAGAGTACCTTGGACTGCAAGAAGATCAAATCAGTCGATCCTAAAAGAAATCAACCATGACTGTTCCCTGGAAGGCCAGATAATGAAAATGAAGC